GCCAGGCTGGAGTGCAATGGCGTGATCTCGGCTCACCGCAACCTCCATCTCCTGGGTTCAGGCAATTCTCCTGCCTCAGCCTCCTGAGTAGCTGGGATTACAGGCACGCGCCACCATGCCCAGCTAATTTTTTGTATTTTTAGTAGAGATGGGGTTTCACCGTGTTGGCCAGGATGGTCTCGATCTCTTGACCTCGTGATCCACCTGCCTCGGCCTCCCAAAGTGCTGGGATTACAGGCTTGAGCCACCGCGCCCGGCCAGAACACTAGTTTTAAGAGCTTTTAGGCCACCGCTGTTCTTCGCTCCCCTTTTAAAACTGTGTAAAATCCTAGAGGCAACTTTCCACGGGACACAATCCACATGTGCCCATCCTTTAAGGCAAGCAACAAAATATTGAAAAAATGGTTGGAAAAAAATACAGCAAGTCTTTATGAATGACAGGTAATCTTTTAAATCCATCTTTTTCTGCTTGTCTTTTAACTAAGAACAAATAAGCGTTTTGCAATGGCTTTCAATCCTATGTTGCTCTTCCTATGAATTTCCCTGTATCCTGTCACTTGGCGTCTTTCTGGGTTTTCTTTACATTGGCTGTTAACCAGGAATTGCCCTGAGCTCCACCCGCCTCATGCTAGGATTCCTGCTGAGGCTCTATCGGCTGGGAAAAGTCAGTTTTCTTAATCCAAACATCAGTTAGCCTGTTGTGTTAAGGACCGAAAACCAGGGATTTAGGAGAGAGCTCAGATAATGTAAATCCTGTCTTTCCTTTAACCTTGACGAAGGCCCTAATTGCTCCAGAAATCTCTTCCTAACCATATCCAGTGGAGCTTTCCCAGTTCTCATGTGCCCCAGACTCTCTCCTGCTTTTTTTCTTTCTCCAAACTGTCTCCTCCTTGGCTTCCAAGATCTCTTAGGTCTCCTCCTACTATCCTGATAACTTTTTGTCTTACTTGCTAACTAAGGCACTCTTAAGATTAAATTATTGAGTCATTCTTATGTCCATCAATCTTCACAATCTAGGTTGTTATGCATCTTTAAGGCCCAAACAACTTGATGACATCAACCCCCAAAACTCCTTTCTAAGACTCATCTCTCATTCTTGTTCCACATTCAGTCTCGGATGAGATAAAGGTACCACCACCTGAAACTATATGGTAGAAAACAAATTCATCTCTTTCTTAGACTCGTTTTTCTCTCCTATTTTCTTCTTACTATTCTCCTGGTACTTCAGGCTTAATACTTGAAAGTTATTGTTTGCTCCTTTCTGTTCTTTACTTTTTTATATTCCATCAATCACAAAGTTCTGCTACTATTCCTCCATGTATTTATCACAAAAATCAACCTTTCTCTTGATTTCTATAAATTCACCTCCCTAACTGCTACTTGTATTATGTTGACACTTTATTGCAGTCCTTTCAAAAACTCATTATATCTTTTCATTGATTACAGAGTCAGACTAAACTCCTTCCATCTTATATAGTCTCCATCGTTTGCATTAGTACATTCTCTCAACTTATCATTTAGACCTGTGCTGTCCAAAATGGTAGCCACTAGCCACTAGTCACATGTGACTCTTGAGCACTTTAGATGTGGCGAATCCAGGCCTGGATTACATGCCTGTAATCCCAGCACTTTGGGAGGCCGAAGTAGGTGAATCACAAGGTCAAGAGATCGAGATCATCCTGGGCAACATGGTGAAACTCCCTCTCTACTAAAAATACAACAATTAGCCGAGCATGGTGTGTGCACCTGTAGTTCCAGCTACTCAGGAGGCTGAGGCAGGAGAATCACTTGAACCTGGGGGGCAGAGGTTGCAGTGAGCTGAGATTGCCCCACTGTACTCCAGCCTGGGTGACAGAATGGAAGACTGTGTCTCAAAAAAAAAAAAAATAAAAAGTTGTGGCTAATCCAAACTGAGGTGCTGAAGTATAAAATACACTTGGCACAATCAAAATAATGTAACAAGTATCTTAGTGATTTTTTTACACTGATTACATGTTGAAATAATATTTTAGATATAGGGGCTAAGTAATATATAACTAGAATTAATTTCGTTTGTTTCTTTTTACTTTTTTTCAATGTGCTAGAAAATTTTAAATTACAAATGTGGCTCACCTGATGTTTCCATTGGATAGTGCTGACTTAGACAACCTGGGCTAGGCATTATGCAACACATCAGAGAAAAGTTTTTAAAAAAGAAGAAATAATCCTGTTTCAGCTCTCTCTTCACAACCCAGCTGAGGAGATAAGACATGAAAAATTAATTATCATTACAACCAGTAGATAAACACCAACAGAAGAAAATTGACCCCATGAGAATTTAAAGGAGAGAGAGGTAGCCAGTAATACTCTCTCCCTTAAGTGGAATTTCAAAAGATCTTGGGAGCATAGACAGTATTTTTTTTTCCTGCAGCTGCAGAAGAAAGAGAAAGGTATTCTGGAACAAAGGAGGTGGGAAAGCACTGAGCAGGTTTGGGATGAGATATGCAGATGAAAGGTATCTGGGGCGAGTGCTGTGCCCTGCTATGGACAGGGTCTACATGTCTCCTGTGCCTCTTTGCCCTCAATCACCCACAGAATAGCTTCTCTGTTCCCTTGCTTTCTCTGAGGCTTAACCACACTCAGGACCTGAAGCTAAAAAATAAAAGTATGTTTATGTTGCCAGTCAGATCTTTGCCATGCTTCTCACCAAGGTTCCAAAAGTGTGCTCCAAATGCATGTTTCTGGACAATGGCACCGCATGACATTTTCTCTAAAGAAACATTCTTCCCAACTGAGCAAACCTTTTGAATGCAGAGACCAACTCATGCAAAGAACAGAACTCAGGGTTTATTTAAATTGCGACTCACCTAGGTTGGCCAACCATCCTGATTTGCCCAGGATCATCTCATTTTTAGCATCAAAAGTCCCTTGTATCGGGTAACCTTGGCTGGTCTGTCTCACTTACTCTGTCACATTTCCAGATCTGACTTTTTCTTTTCATTTGTAATCATTAGTTTGCTAATTTGATATTGATGACAAAATGACAGAGACAGTACAATTATGTTAAAAAGAAATGTGGTTGCTTTCTCCAGCCACTGCAGGGCTGACTTGACAACATATTTTTTTTCCCTTAGTTTCATGATGCCCTAAGGGATCTCACAATTCCTCATGTTAAAGTCATTTCTCTTCCATTTTAAAAATATGTCACTGAGTACATCTAGGAAGAAGGGTGCCATACAGTCTATCAAATAACAAACAGGTACTTCAAGTTCCAAAAGGCGGGGATAGAAGTTCTACCTGGAAGCAGACTTTCACTGGAACTTACTCAACTTATTCTGTGAGTCCCCTGTCACTAACTCCAGAGCCCTCTTCTTGAAGTCTTCCTTCTCTTATGAGTCTCACTCACACTTGTTCTCCAGGGCTGCTGGCTAAGGGCAGCATCAAAGTGAAGCGAAACCCCCTAGATGGAAAATTCAAAGAAAGCAAGTTCAATTCCAAGTTCTGGCAGTAAAGTTACATGATTAAGGAGCCTCTAATTCCCAAAGGAATGAATCCCCTATGGTGCAATGACAGGCAGTGGGTTTGAACTTTCAAGATATTGAACTAGAGCTCCTTCGATCATACCATGTACACCATATATTCATAAAACTAGCTGTAGTACAATCACTCACCCAAAAGTTCTAGCCCAATTCTGAAAACATAACTAAATTTCAATTTCCATTTAGCAACAACTTTTTGCATAGTGCTCTCAATTCCAAGTTGCAAAACCTTGGTCTCGAAATAGAGTAATTCTGGCTGGGCGCGGTGGCTTACACCTGTAATCCCAACACTTTGGGAGGCCAAGGTGGGTAGATCGCTTGAGATCAGGAGTTCAAAACCAGTCCAGCCAACAAGGCGAAACCCCATCTCTACTAAAAATGCAAAAATTAGCTGGGTGTGGTGGCAGGCACCTGTAATCCCAGCTACTCAGAAGGCTGAAGCAGGAGAATCTCTTGAACCTGGGAGACGGAGGTTGCAGTGAGCCAAGATTGTGCCACTGTACTCCAGCCTGAGCAATACAGTGAGACTCTCTCTCAAAAAAGGAAAAAAAAAAAAAAAGAGTAATTCCCTTTTATCTGTGGGGGATATGTTCCAAGACCCTCAGTGGATGCCTGAAATCATGGATAGTACCAAACCCTATATATACTATTTATTTTTTTCTATGCATACATACTATGACAAAGTTTAGTTTATAAACTAGGCACAGTAAGAGATTAACAATAACTAATGACAAAATGGAATAATTATAACAATATACTGTAATAAAAGTTGTGTTAGTATCATGACTCTCTCAAAATACTTTATCATTAACAAAAATAACTATGATTTACTGTGGATAACTGAAAACACAGAAAACTAAACCATGAATTGGGGATTACTCTTGCACTCCTGTGATAATATTAGCGATTAGCACCCTCCAGGACTTCTCTGTAGCTGCATCAGATTAAATTCATTGAGCTCAAACAATAACAAGTACAGATATTGATCATCTTATGACCTATGCAACTTACGACCATTCAGCTTTACGACCACAATCACTAGCCACGACTGCTTCGCGTCTGGCAGCGCAAACGTTGCCCAGCTGGGCGTACGACAGTGCGGACCAGCTTCCGGCAGCACTACCATCTCCGCGTGCATATAGCCTACTCAACTTACGACCAAATCGTGTTACGACCAGTCTGTCGGAACCAATCGTGGTTGTAAGTCGAGCACTAGCTGTAAAATTACCATGTGGTAGTGGGGAAAAGGAGGAAGGACTGATGGTTTCTTGCTTTTGAAAGAAAAACTTCAGCTGAATTAAATTTAAAGGAGTTTAATTGAATAATCACCAATTCATGAATCAGGAAGCCCCCAGAATCACAGCAGATTCAGAAAGACTCCAGCATAGCCATGTGGTTGAAGATTTATAGACAAAAGAAAAAGGGAGGAAATGATGTACACAAATGAGAAGTGAGGGACAGAAACAGCTGGATTGGTTACAGGTTGGTGTTTGCCTTATTTGAACACCATTCTAACAGTTGGCTACATTCGATTGGCCAAACTCAGTGATTAGTATACGTGTGGGCTATGGTCAGTTTACACCTCCATTTATTGGAGTTCACGATGTACAGAAAAACCTTTAGAACATAAATATGTAAGGAGGCAGCTTTAGGCTAAACTGGATTAATATTGTCCAGCATGAGTTTGATGTCTTTAATTGTCTGGCTTAGGCTCACCCAATGCCTCCTTTAAAATGCTCCATGAGTTGGTAATGTGTCCTAATATATGGTTGCTTCAAAGAATATGTTTTTAAAGATTCCACCTGTTTTATTTTTATGTTTGGATTGGCACTAATTGATGCCCTTCAGCAAATTAAGCAGTCTTTTTTCCTTTTTGTGATCCAGACAAAAAGGCAAACTCCGTTTTAATGACAGGTAGTCTGGTCCACCAGCTTCTTTATAACAAGTCAATGCTAGCTTAGTCAGGAGGAGAACATCTGGGGTTCTTCCTCAATTATACAGAAGAACTGAAACTGCTGGATCTGATGGGCCTTTTCCTCTAGTCTCACCTACTCAATTTAACTACACTGTGCAGGGTAACTGCTTTTTCTCCAGAAGCTTTAGGGGAAACTTGTTCTTTTGTGCTTTTACGTGGTGCTATGGTTTGGATATGGTTTGGCCCAGCCAAAACTCATGTTGAAATTTGCTTCCTAATGTGTAGTGTTGGGAGGTGGGGCCTGATGGGAGATGTTTGGGTCACAGGGCAGGGCAGATTCCTCATGAATAGATGCTCATGCAGAAGTAAGTGAGTTCTCACTCTGTGGGAATTAATTAGTGTCTTTGAAAGCAAGAGCAGGTTGTTAAAATGAGTCTGGCTTCCACAGTCTCGGTCATTTCCGCTCTCACCATGTGATCTCTTTACACGCATCACTCATCTTTCACTTTCCACCATGAGAGGAAGCAGCTTGAGGCCTTCCCCAGATGCAGCTGTCTAGCTTTGAACTTTCCAGCCACCAGAATCATAAGCAAAAATATACCTCTTTTCTTTTCTTTTTTTTTTTTTGAGATGGAGTTTCACTCTTGTTACCCAGGCTGGAGTGCAATGGCTCGATCTCGATTCACTGCAACCTCCACCTCCTGGGTTCAGGCAATTCTCCTGCCTCAGCCTCCTGAGTAGCTGAGATTACAGGCACGTGCCACCATGCCCAGCTAATTTTTTGTATTTTGACTGGAGACGGGGTTTCACCATGTTGACCAGGATGGTCTCGATCTCTTGACCTCGTGATCCACCTGCCTCTGCCTCCCAAAGTGCTGGGATTACAGGCGTGAGCCACTGCGCCCGGCACCTCTTTATGAATCACCCAGCCTCAGGTATTCTGTTATAGCAATGCTAAATGGACTAAGACACCTGGAAATGGAGAAAGAGAGTTTTTATAGCCCGGCTAAACCTGAATAAGATCCTGGCCTTACCTGGTAGGCACTCCAGTTCTGCTTAGGTTTTTTGTTTTGATCTTTCCTAAGATTAAATTCTGTAGAAGAGATTATAAAATAAAAAGACATTATTCCATATAAATATGTAGTATAATAAAAAAATTAATTATACGGATGCTAACTTAACTAAATGTATGATTTTGAGCAAAAAATTCCTCAATTTCATTTTTTAAGTTTCTTTTTCCTGTGAACTGGGACAATAATACTTAATTTCTCCAGAAGATTGTGAGGAGATACACAAGGGAATGAAAACACTGTGAACAAGTTAAATCACTAAGGTTTTACTCTTAGATCATTTATACCTTCATCAGTCTAAAATTTAGTTCCAAATACAATTTAAAGTCAAAAATCTAACTCTTCTCAGGTTACAGTTGTAAATCATGTAATAAGGAATTATCTTTACCCATTACATTAAGACAAATAAACTAATACTTAAAAAGCAGACACTTTTAAACCAGATTGCTCTATCCAAGAAGTTGTTCAACTCTAGTTCCATCTGTGAAGCCACCTCTGGGTGTCAACAGCAGTGATTGCCAGAGCACGACCCATGAGTACTAATTGAAAGAAAGGACTTCAGCATGCTATTCTTGCTGTTTTCCCTTCTGCCACTAGCCCTGTGTCTACTTGCTTTCTGGCATACTTGGAGATCAGAGAATATAAATACAAAAAATAACTAGAAGAAGGAAACTGGGAAAGGGGAGAAAAATCATGAAATTGCCATGTTTTAACTTTAAACCATCAGTCATGTCACAGCCTATGTAAGTGTCAGAGGCGTTTGAACCAGAGCAACTTTATCTTAAATAGAAGCTGGGTATAACGAAGCTGAGATCTATTGGGCTGCATTCTCAGACCATTAAGGCATTCTAAGACATAGGATGACAGAGGAGGTCAGCACAAGATACAGGTCACAAAGACCTTGCTGATCAACAGGTTGCAGTAATGAAGCAGGCCAACATCTGCTAAAACCAAGATGGCAACGAGCGTGATCTCTGGTCATCTTCACTGCTACACTCCCACCAGTGCCATGACAGTTTACAAATGCCATAGCAATAACAGGAAGTTACCCTATATGGTGTAAAAAGGGAAGGCATGAATAATCTACCCCATGTTTAGCGTATAATCAAGAAATAACCATAAAAATGAGCAATCAGCAGCCCTTGGGGCTGCTCTGTCTATGGAATAGCCATTCTTTTATTGCTTTACTTTCTTAATAAACTTGCTTTTGCTTTGCACTATGGACTCGCTCTGAATTCTTTCTTGTGAGAGATCCAGGAATCCTCTCTTGAGGTCTGGATTGGACCCCTTTCCCATACCATAGGCATGTGATCATTATAAAAATATATTAAAATATGTTCAAATATATTATTAAATGCATCTAAGTATGAGTCTCAGGAAAATCCACTGGGCCCCCTGTTTTAATGCAGAGGTTGCAATCTCAGCCTCCCTGTGAGGTGAGGCATGGCAGTTAACACCAAAATTTGAATTTAGTTGAGTACCAGACAATAGTGAGGTATTGAGAGGGTGGTTATGAAACCGAGAAACCATTTGAAATGAAAAACTTGAAAAAAAACAGACAGGCAATATGCAATGCAGGCTGCATTAGGCTCTGAGCTGCAAATATTCAACATCTTCTTTAAAGTTTACTCATATAATCATGTGGTCAATAGAAATCACTTATGAAAATGATTTTTAAAACCTCAAAAGCTGATTTATTTGCAACAGGCTTAGTAGATAATTTTCTGTAATATTCCAGTAGAGTATTCCTTTTAAGGTACAGCTTTATTTGTTGATTTTTTAAAACAACTACAAAGCCTTGTATATATTTCTTTAAAAAAAAAAAAAAAAAAAAACTACAGAAGCATATCTTCCATGAGAAACTCTGCTTGTTTGTGTGGGAAACTATACAAAGAAGTTTATTAGCAATGAGATTGTGCATGATCATCAGAATGGCAAAGTAATCTTTTTTAACTGAGTGCATATTCTAATCCTCCTGTATGATTTATGTGAATAAAATCTTTGAAGTATTGTTGAGGAGGTAATCTTAACTAAATTGAACTTGACAGTAGCCCTTTATCCAGTTCCAATGTGCTTAGACTTTGAGGCGCATATAGAATCAGAACGAATACTGGTTTAAAATATGATTCAGTAAGTACATTCCAGCCCTAGATAAAGCACCTCAGGGCAATGAAAACTGCATTGAATAAAAGGAGCTTCAACATCCACAGTCTACCATTTCTTTTGGGGCACGGGAGTGCTTTAGTTTGATGGGCTGGCTCACTTCATTTTGTATTGTGGTGGTAATATCTAAGGAGATAGATAACCATTTTACAAATGCCTGTTGTAAATCCAGTTGTGCCCTGCAGAATCCCAGAAGATTCCAGAAGATATGGGCTGCAGGTTGCAAGGCACCATTGGGTTCTGCAGAGTACTACTTAGACAGCCTTATTAGCAGGCTCATCGAGGATCCAAGGCTTAGATGAGCTCTTCCACATAGAGAAGATTCTGAAAGAAAAGAAATTTGTCCTTTTAAGTACTCAAATTTAAAATGCCTATTATATATATATATATATTACATATATACATATATGTGTGTGCGTATATATATATAATATATATATACACACACACATATATGTGTGTGTGCATGCAAATAGGTGTTTTAAACAGATTTTAAACTTTAGTGTACAATTTGAGCCCTCTCAAAGAATGTTTTCTTGCATCATTTGCAGAACATTTTCTTGCATCTTTGATTCATGACTATGAGCATGTAAACAATTAGACCACTGCTTTGTAGGATGTTATCCCAGCAAGTATTGAAGCGTGTATGGTGGCTGGGCACTACAACAGTGTTTTTAAAATGGTAACACGCTTTTTAAAGAGAAAACAAATTTCAAGGACCCTGCCTTAGTTTGGGTACTCCTGGAGACACTGAAATAAGGATTTGAGGGCAAGAAGTTTATTTGGCAGGCGTAAGGGAGTGGGGAATGAAGACAGAGAAGGGAGGGAAGCTCAATCACGAGTACGAGAGTGTGTTTTCAAGAAAAGAACTGCAAGGACAACTGGAGCTTGACCCTTCTTGTGAACTTTGGAAAATAGTGCAGATCATGTGTCTCGGAGCTAAGTAACGGTGAGAAAAATGAGATGTCTATTCAACAAATTCCATCACCTTTCGTTCAGAGCTTCTCCTGGGATGTGTTCACTTCTCCAGAACATGAACAAGCATGCTTCAGTGACCAGACAAAGCCCCTAGCAAAGGACTGCAGGACATAGTCTTCTCCGCCCCTATAATATCATAGCAACTGTGTATGCTCATTAATCAGGGCTTCTTTATTGCATCTTGGTTAACTGGAATAAGAAGCTTAAAATGCCAAGGGAGAATATGTAACTTTAAATTTAGTGGAAACTTCATTCTAAATTTAGCGGAAACTTCATTCTAGCTACTTCCAGACAGATCCCTCTCCCTACCAGGAACCAGAACCTCTGGCCCTGCATGGCCAAAAGTTGTGGAAATGAGAAGCACAGGTTCTCTAAGTGATTCCTTGACCCATGCCTTTAAAACATGGACACTGTGGTGGGCTAACTTCTTAAATTAAATTAAAATGGGGCATGATGGGGACCATAGCCCTGCTTCCTACCATCCAGCCCAAGATGTGATATTACTTTTGTTACTGTGGATGGTGGGGGCATTTTCAGATGGCTCCCATTTGGCCTTTCATACTAGGGACTAGTGTGAGATTTGCCAACTATTAATATAGCCTTTTGATTACGCATTTGGGCAGCAGAGAAATTTCTACTTGGCAATTCCATAGATCTGCCGGATTTACTGTGAGATGAACTTGGATCAGGACTTCAGAATTCATTTGTCCTTTATCTGCTTTGTGCTCCCTCTTGAAAAAGGGGCCATGATGTTACCTTAGGTCCACTGCATAAGTGTCCTGCGTCCAACAAGTGGCGCTGCATTCTGCTGAGAAAATGTAGGCGGCAGTGTAAATGTGTGCCTCAGAATTATTTCACTCACAGGGAGGAAGAGCTGAGGTATTTATACACCAATTCCCTTAAGTCATAGATTGAGGGCTGCTGCCAGGAGGGTTAATTCTTTGCAGCATATCTGGCCTGCTATGTGTGTGGTGACAAAGAAAAAGACGCCTCAGCTGCAGGCATCGGTAGTTGAAAGTTAGTACTGTACACACTACTAAAACAGTAAGAGCCAGGGAGATAAATGTGAGACACTGTCATTACCTGCTACTTTTAATAAATTTTTTAAAAATTTTTATTTGAATTTTATTCACTGCATTTAAAAATACCTTATAAACATAAAATGAATTATTAGCTCCTTTGTTTATATCTTAGAAAACTATAAAACCTACCTACATCATAAATTAAGAGCAAATAAAGTCACACACCAACAAATTAAAATTAACATTAATTTAATAGGAGATAATGGTGTGCTAAAACTAAAATGCCACATAAAATTATGGATATGATACTGACTGCTAAGAATTTTCTTAGTTTGTATGCTTTTGTTATCTATGAAGACTCAATTTCTCCTGCCATTTTTCTTTTCTTTTCAATAATTAAATAACTTTCATTTATATAGTGAACCATAAAATCATTTACCTTCCCTTGGCTTGAATGTGTTATTTACACATTAAGCTCTTTTCTTTTCTTCTTCAATGATTAAGGTATTATAACATAAATGTAAATGCAAACACTGGAAGGGAAATTTAATTAAAATATAGAAGTTTTACTTTTTTTTTTTTTGAGACAGAGTCTCGCTCTGTTGCCAGGTGCCAGGCTGGAGTGCAATGGTACAATCTTGGCTGACTGCAACCTCCACCTCCAGGGTTCAAGCAATTCTCCTGCCTCAGCTTCCCGAGTAGCTGGGACTACAGGCACATGCCACCACGCCCAGCTAATTTTTTTTGTTTTTTTAGTGAAGACGGGGTTTCACCATGTTGGCCAGGATGGTTTCAATCTCTTGACCTCATGATCCGCCTGCCTCAGCCTCCCAAAGTGCTGGGATTACAGGCATGAGCCACTGCGCCC